TTTGCATTGAACTCCGTGCTTTTTTCTGGATGTAGGTTTTTGAGGGATCCCTCAACCCTAGGTTCGCAGACTTCTATTCGTGTCCCGCGAAGTTTGCTGTCACTCGTAGCAGTATCTGCCAGCGGTGCCGAGTGATCCGCAACCCTGACATTGCAGTCGCTGGGTGACGACGCCCGGTGGCCTGCTTGCGCACCACCGACCGCCTGTACTGGGGCTCCGATCCCCTGCACCGTAACTGTTGATCCTGACAGATCCTCCATCCTGGGTTTTTTCTTCAGGGTCACCTTCCCTAGCGTATTTGAGCTGCCGCCAGCTTAAGGAAACGGAATAAACAAGGGGAGACAGAGAAGAATAGAGTTAGAATAGAAGGGTAGAATGGAAACGACTCCCTAGCCCTCGCAACCTAATAGCGTCGGGGCGGAAACACAAGTGTTGGCCGATACAGGACAGAAAACAGAAGTGTGCCACAAGTAAGTGGAAGCGGAAAGTGGTATTACACACCAAGTTTGTGTGATTGATCGGATGTTTGGGGGAGTGACTGGACAGCTGCTCCGATTAGTCGCCTTTTAAGACGGGGGAGATCCCGTGGCGCTATTCTACTAAAATCCCCGGCACCATACGGGGTATTATTATTATTATTATTATTATTATTATTATTATTATTTATAAAGGAGGAGGGAAAATCCTTTAGGGATACCAGTGAAGCTGATGTTGGGATCCCAAAACTAGGTACCGACTTTAAAAAATCCTAACTCCGTCTCTTTAAACGTATTCTCTCCCACGTGAAACCGCGTTAGACATTACTTCCACGCAGGAGATGCTGGTAGCAGATGCTGTAGTGCTTCTGTCTTAATTCTTTCTTCTTCATAATACTAACTATGAAGTTCTCTATGGTTTTCCATTTCTCCTGCGAAGTCAACATCATGTCGACCATGTCTGGATTTATAACTTGTTGGAGGTTGGTATTACAAACCTCTCGTTCCGCGTCCCATGCCTTGCACTGTAATAGTATGTGTTCCGCATCATCTATGTCTGCGTGACAGAGACTACATGTGGGCCTCTTTTCAATCCTGAAATCGTAGAGGTATTTATTAAATCCCCCATGTCCCGTAAGAGCCTGGGACAGTAATAACCCACTTCCCCAAAACTTAGGCTAACCCATCTCTCGATGTTTGTAATCAACCGATGAGTCCATCTGCCTTTCACATCCCCATCCCATCTTCCTTGCCATTCTTCAAGGAGCAACTTCCTTGCTTCTGCTTTAACACTCTCAATTTGCTTGGGAGGAAGATGACTGTCTGCTTGTACTTCCTTCAAGGAGAGGTTCATCCTCTTTCTTTCCGTGGCTATTAAGTCGTGGTGTACTGGCCAATGCCAGCACTGCGCAAGTAGATACTGTGCGGTAGGCACACGCCACCCTCAAGGCCATTCGTCTTTGTACTTGGGCGTATTTGTGTCTGATGGACAGTTTCTCCAGCGAACCCGCCCAGACTGGAGCAGCATACAGCTGTGAGTGAACTATGCCAGATATCATTCTTCTCTTGGCTTCTCTCGGTCCACCGACGTTCGGTAGCATTCTTGCGATGTTAGCTTCTGTCCTCGCCGCCTTCTCTGCCATCACATTTATGTGGGGCCCGAAGCTGAGTCTATGGTCTATTTCGACTCCTAAATATCTTATCTGGCTCTTCCAGTTGATTCTCTCCCCTTCCAGTCGGAGATCTGGGTAGTGAAAGGCCCTCCGAACGGTGATTAACACAGTTTCGGTTTTTTTCACTTCCATCTGTAGCTGTCGTCTATCTAGCCATTTTTTTAACCCTAAACAGCGCTTCGTTCACTCTAAATTCTAGGAATTCAATGTCAACGCTTATTAATGTATCGTCAGCATAGCCTATGAGCTGCGTATCTTTCGGCAGGTCAATGCTTAGAATGTCATCATACAGGACATTGCATAAAAATGGCCCGAGTCTGGACCCTTGAGGAACGCCACACGTCACATTCTCTTCTATTCTGATACTGTCCACGTAAGTTATCGTCCTTTCATGGAGGTAGTCTTCAGTAAGCCTTATGAGATATTCCGGAATCATCTTGTTAACTAACACTTCTATAATGTCCTTCCACCTAGCGGAGTTGAAGGCGTTTCTAATGTCAATTGCCACGAGCGCGTAGAATTCCTTCTTCTTTCCGACTTCTCTTCTGGCTGCGTCTTCTTTATCGATTACTTCGAGGATGGCATCCGTCGTCGAGCGACCTCTCCGGATATTGCCTGTGAGAAAAGCATATGAATCCCTCAAGCAGCTTGCCCATCGTGTCAAGGAGGCACAGTGGTCTGTATGATGACGTCTGATCTACTGGCTTGTTGCCCTTTCGGAGGAGTATCAGTTTTTGTCTCTTCCACGTCTTAAAGAATTTCCCATCATCAAGGCAGCGGTTATAGATTGACAAAAGGATTTCCGGATACTCCTGTGCCACTACTTTTTAGTATTTCACAGGGCATTCCATCAAAACCTGGGACCTTCCCAGTTTTCATGCTTTTCGCCGCTCTCCTCAGTTCGTATATTGTGAAGTAATCAACTGTGAAGTCGCTGTTTTTATCTCGTCCAAGGATCTCTAGTGGGAAAGAGGTCCCTGATAGCTTTCCTCATCGATTGTGGGTCGTTCAATCAGGTATCTTCCAGTCCATTCTGAATTTCTTACTTACTATTTTATGCCATGCCCCATGGGTCGTTATCTATCTGTTCTAAGAGCTCTTTCTAGCATCTGACATTACTTTTATTTCTCTCTTAAATGTTGGACAATTTTTTTATACTTGTTCCCTGAGTGCATATCGTCTTGGCCCTTTCGCTATTCTTTTTCCTTGTTACAGTTCCTTCGAAGTTCGGCTATGCGCCAAACCCATTGTAATAGCTACCTGGATTCTTCGAAGGAGCTTTTGACCTTAGTCTTCATTCAAAATTTTTGGATTCCAAGTTGGTCTGTCCTTTATATCCGTTTTGAACATGTTGCCAGCCCCTCCTGTTAATGGAGTCGAATCCTATGTACCAATGGTCACTCAGGTTTCTCGCCGAAGTACTGACCAATCATTGATGCCTTTAACTAAGCTTGGTGGAGCTTAATTGTCAATCCAAAAATAGATGATGCGCTCCACGTTGAAAGGTGTACTCATCCGTATTTAAGATGATCAGATCATTTCTTGCACAATGAATTCACACATAATTAGTGCCTTCTTCAAATCGGACGCGTCTCTCCCCCATTCGACGACTTAGCATTGAATCGCCTTGCCACTAATACCTCGCGCTTAGACGTTTTCCAAGCTAGCCTCCAGCTCAATCGATATCTCTCTGAACTTTTTCTAGCGTATTTCATTCGGTGAAAAAATAGCAGCTAATAAATTCTCATATTACTCACTCCAGGCCGTACAAACCCTATTTCGCTTCTCTGGTGGATCCTGCATATTCAGCGTCTTATTATGTATTATTATCCGCTCTTCCAGAGCATCCTGATACCACATGTCGTACCACGTGTTTTTGTCGGTTGTCGGTTGTTCGCTAACAATAAACAAGTCTACGTTTCTTTCAGTTACAACTTGAACAAGTAGATCTTGTGCGATTTTGCTCCTTCCTGGGTTAACTTGTAGGAACCTTATTTTGTCGCTTACTTTTCTTGTTTATTTCGGCGTTGAATGAGGAGCGTTTTCTGCTTCCTAGCATGTGGCCATCATTTAGATGTTTATCCTTGCATATGACATATTTGGGTGTCTGTTGCAGTCATTTATCTGATGCCCTGTTTCTCCGCACTTGTAGCATGTATTTCTACGGCCAGGGCCCTGGCAGTTGGTGGATATGTGTTCAAAAGCTAGGCATTTGAATCATCTTGTTACTTGTTGCTTCTCGCGCATTTTTCAGTTGACCCATCCTATCTTTATTTTACTCTTGTCATTCTTCAGTAGTTGTGAGGCTAGATCTGTATGGTGTTTTTAAGATATGTTTGTATGGTGTTTTGTATGGTGATTTCAGGATTGCACACAGGATCTGCAATCCTCTCGAATAATCCTTGTATTATTTTTTGTTATACATAAAACCTATATAAATAATATTTGTTTCTTTGTATCCCATTGAATGGCACATAATGGCAAAAATGCTTGGATGTGAAGATATTATCGATATTATTTATATCGATACATTTCGAGGGGCGTTCAAAACGTTCCCGGAATGGTGGTTCAGCTTGTTAATGGTATAACCTATGGCAATGGTAACCTAATCATCTAAGTAAGATCATTACGCATCCTTACAGTAGCTTCCATCGTTCCTGCCATTGTTGCAATCAGCGGTGGAAGGCTTCTTTTGGCGCCTGTCGGAACTGAGCCGTCGCATTCTATTTAATGTTCTCCACGGTTGCAAATCGTCTCTCTTTTTGACGCATTTTTGGTGTAGAGAACAGCCATTAGTGTCTGGGAACGAGATCCGCAGGGAACCGTGGTTGAGGGAAGACAGGAATGCTCTCGGAGAGGATTTTCTGCCCAACAAGCCACGTGTGGCTTGGCGCGTTATTGCGACACCATTCTCCACTTGGCCTTGTGTGTCCTTCGACCTGCATCACGGAAATTGCAAAACTTCCACTTATAAATTTTCAGTAACAGCCAGACCAGGCCACGGTGTAGGAGGGCCGATAGTGAACGTCTGGTTCGCGCGCGGTTCGAACTGCGACTTTACGCCCACGAATCACCACTCACCTCCACATGACACGGAGCAGTGGCACCACTGCGCACTGAAACACGTCCACACCAATTTTGCCTGCGTGCGAACATGCCCAGCCCCGTACCACAAAAACGTGAATCCTGTCTTATTGATAGTTTGGCGACGGCAAGTCAATTCCGGGAACTTTTAGAATGCCCTTTGTATGTCATTACGTTTGCCGTAAAATTTGCTCTATGAAAACGTATTTAACGGTTACATAATATTAATTGTATTTGGTTTCATGTAACATGCAACTTATTGTTTCAGACTTCATGGATGAATACAGTCTGTCTGTGGAGTTTTGTCGACGACATTTCCTGGTGGGACTTCTTCTCCAGGAGGTGCGTGCTGCATTGCATGAGGTGCATCAGGTGCGCCGAGCAGCTGTTTCAACTTTGCGAGATCTTCTTGCAAAACATGAACTGGATGATCGCTATCAGAGCAAGGTGCAGCTACATACTTTTAGTTGGTTACACTATTATCAAAGAGAGAAGTATTGTTATTTATTTGTTTACAGGATATTCCCTTTTATTACATGAAATTATAATATATGAGTACACAATACACTTTAGTTAATGAAGTCACAAAGAGTAAATTTAGAAACAATATCTTAATTACAAAGCATGTGGTTATAAAGAGCATTCTCGAATAGTATGTATGTAGCTTGAGTGAGTAATGTTGAAAAAATTAATTCGTTTTCAATACTTGTTAGCAGTAGAGGCAATACGGTAGAAGTTATCATTCTTTCATAGTAAGTTTTCACAGGTTTGACAAAAAATAATAAGGGATTGGGTGTCGACATGTGAGGGACCTGAAATCCAATATTAGGTAGAAAATCATTACAATTAATTTTCTGCAACAAAATTTTAAATAGAAAGATAGGGTCACAGATTCTTCTTCTATCCTGAAGATGAGGAATGTTATATGATGTGTAGTGATCAGTGTTGTTGTGACAAAACCGTGGGATAGGGCATCCATCGCAAAATGCCAAGTTGCGCTACAACTTGTGTTGGACCTTCTCAAGATGATCTACAGCCTTTTCAGTGAAGGGAGACCAAACCAGACAGGCCTACTCGAGAATGGACCTAACCCTGGATGGGGATCTGCAAATGGGTCTCCAGATGGTACACAGTAAGAGTCAGAATGGATACCATTCAGAGAAACATACTGCAGTCTATTATGCAAATAAGAATTGATCCATGAAAGGACCCATCTTAGTTTATGGATTAAGATCATATGACTGGTTAAACGCCTTAGCAAAATGTGCATAAATTCTATCAATATGAGAGCCATCGGCAAGCAAATCAATAATGAATTTTTTGAATATGCCCAAGTTTGTGCAGATTGACCTGCCCTCTCTGAATCCATGCTCAGAGTCTGAGAGTAGATTAGATTTTTAGATTTATTAATAATTCTGCAATTAAGTGTGAGAACTTGGTAGCAGAATACATTAACTTAACAACTTTACAAAATCTACAAAATTTACAAAATCACAAGAACATTTTACTGTGCAATCGTTCATAGAACTCCACTTGACCACACTTCACCGAACTGCGATACAGCGAGCTGTAATGTCTTTCTTACTCACTCGTTTCTCTGTTTCTCAACGTCACTGCACTTCACGCCACTGCACTGCACTTAATACTAATACTAATGATAATGATAATATTAATAATATTAATAATAATAATAATAACAACAACAATAACAATAATAATAATACTTAATTACATAGAAGACATAGTTAATTACACTGAATTTTATTAAATATATTTATAACATATATCTACATTCAAGAAACTAATTTATTTTTTAATTTACTCAGGCTTTGAGGAAAGGGATCGAAGATTGTCACGGCAAACCGTTCCAGTCCCTGATAGTGCAATTCGTGAAAAAATATTTCCCAAAGTCTGTTTTCTGAATTCTTGTCTGAATTTTGTGCATGTGATCTGCTCTGCTGAAATATGTTGGTGTCCTAATTGACATTGAATTTCTTTCCACGCTCGAAGGCCTGTGTACGTTTTATACATTGCATAGAGACGTGACTTTAATCTTCTCCTTTTGAGTGACTCCCATACCCCTTTATTCTTGGTACCCCTGAAAGTAAATTTTGATGCTCTACGCTGGACCTTTTCTAGTACAGCCTCAAAGAAGATGTAAGATTAATGCACACTAGTTTTTCGAACAGCTTAGGGATGATACTTAAGATGGGAATAGGGTGATAGTTTGTCACTTCAGATTTATCACCTTTCTGATGAACAGGGATAATCTTGCTCTTCTTCCAAACATCAGGAAAAGACCCACATCTGAGGGATTGATTAAATAGTAAGCATAATAGGCTAGCTATGACATATTTGCAATGTGCCAAAAACAGATTAGGTTTGAGATCAAAACCTGGACCCTTTCTTGGATTTAAAGAACCAAGCTTCTCAAAGATATCACACAACCATAATTGGAGATTGTCGATGAAAGGGTCCTCGACTTCCAAAACTGGAGAGAAAGCCAGAAGGGACGCTGTGTTGTTGGAAAATTGATTACTGAAGTATTGTGCAAAAATGAATACAATGTCACACAATTCTATACAATGAATATCCTGATTGTGCATATTACGTAGGATATGGTTGTGATTTGTGGTGTAATGTAAATGATTCCAGAAAACATTGATATTAGAAGATATAGATTCTTCAACTAAAGAAATATTATTATCGTCGGAATGCTTTTGGATATACTTTGGCTCTGATGGCAGAAAACAAATCATAAGAGTCAGTTGGATTTGATTATTTATAGTCTTTATGTAACCTTTTCTTTACCCAGATGACTTGGATCAGTTCCATGGAATATTAGGGCAGTTAAGAGGTACCAAAAATTGGCCTCACTGGAATAGAGCAATCAGGATTGAAATCATAGTTGACTGGATGTAATAATGGTGTTAAAAGTGAAGTGGAGTTCGTTAATTAAAAGTACTCTGGAATATCCCTGTTTGAATGTTTTGGAATCTGAATGATCTTTAGGACGGCATTTCTGTAAACTATTCTTGAATTCTTCTTGCCATTCTTAATACAGTTTTCCAATGCAGCAATAGTGAGTGTACATTGTCCTTTCCTTTGCAAGAATGAGTAGAAGGAGAATGAGAAATATACACAGTAAAACTTTACTTACAAGTTTTGCAGGGGACTAAAGGTTAAAAATGTATAAGTGAGGAAAACACATCTCAAATTGATTAAAATCAGCAAAAGAAAAATCCAATATTTTTACATCCAACATTACTTTTGATTTATTTGATTTGATTTATTTCGTCAGAGAATAGTAAAAAATGTATGAGACATATCTGCGTATAGTTCCATCTGTTCACGTTTTCTTGAGCTCCAGAATCTATTTCCAACATTTTAACTACAAATAGTTGAATGATGAATAAAAGTTTTTAAAAAAAGCAAAGTTAGCAACTTGTGAAATCAAGAAATTTTTCTCCAAGTTATAGATAACTTATTTGGCAACAATGTACGTTGCCAAGAGCGCTCGTGTACTGAGTAAGATACAGTGTTTATCTGAATAAGGTACAGCATTAATCTAGAACATGCAGTAAGTTACTAGTGTGCGCTTGCATCAGCATGCATCAATACAGTTGATGTCATCTGCCCTAGGTGACACATGTCAAAGCAACACCTGTGTAACTGGCTAAAAGTCACTATAAATCTTTGATTCCCTCGAATTTCCTTTAAATGCGCCAAATTTGATTATGAAATGTTGGTGAACATTATGCAAAACTGCACTGGACGTCACTAGTGCCACAATTTTTCATCCTGTACTTTTGTTCAAAATTCCCAAATGGAGAGTTGAAATCCCTGCATCCTGATGAAATTAAACAACCTGAATACTTGATTCAACACAAAAATTCTTCCTTCTTCAAAAATAAGAGAACCATGTCAATATGCAGGGCTTGAGGTGTTGAAATGTGCCAACATGCGCTAACAGTGCACTAACATTTTGGTAATATGCAGCGATTTTTTGAGAGAATTGCCTATGTTTTTGTTTTCCTGGTTTTGTTGAGTGGATGTTGGTTAATTTTATTTTTGGATAATGAATTCAAAAGAGTGGGTATTATATATATTTTTTTATAATATGATATTAATATAATATAACAATATAATATAATATAATTATATATAATATAATTATATATTATATTATGTTACATTATATTATATTACATTATATTACATTACATTACATTACATTACATTACATTACATTATATTATATTATATTGTGTTATCTCTATTGTTCTCTACCTTTAATGTAGTTCAAATATTTTTGTGGTATTTCCTTTGACTTGATGTACGGTTAGGACCTATGTGAGCATCTCCTTCAAAGTTTTGCTTGGTTTGTAGAATGACCACAGTGCACATTTAGAGTTTGGACTTTAATGGGTCTATATTTTAATGATGAATTTGATTGTTTGTTTTTCAATCTTTCAATTTCTTCAACATCAGTAATACTGCCTATAATAGATGGTACTTTTGTGACCGCTTGTTTGTCAGTGACTGGGGATTACTTTATTGACAGTTTTTGGTTTTCAAAAACATTGTAGAAGATGACGTTCTTCGATCGATGCTTGTGATCAAAGATCATGGTATATAATGATTGAAACTCAGAATTTCCTAATATTCTGAGTTTCCCTATATTCTTGTCTCTCTCTTCTAATTTAGCAAATGTAGTCATGTTTGTTTAGTTGTTTGAAGATATCAGGAAATTTATTATCAAGATTTTTCACTCATCAGCTCATCAATTACATCTGATTTTTCATTTTTAAAATCATTGATATAAGTTGTCACCACTGTATTTTAGTGTTGTAGTACTGTAGTTGTTGTAATTAAGTAACAATGATTTGAAAATCCTCCATTTGGTAACACTTTTGGTGATTTTCAAAAGCTGGAGTGATACTTACATATTATACACTTTACTACGTTAGCGTCTGTATGTAGATTTTCTTATAGTAGAAGCAAGAGTTTCCTTATTCATCCTCCATGGCAGTTAACCAATTTTAACGTAATTTTGTTTTCTCTTTTTAGGGGCAGTTGGCTCGCATTGCTGCATTGTATGTTCCTTTATTGAGTGTGGTGCTAGAAAACTTGCCCCGCCTCAGTCCTCCATCTGGAGATGGTGCCAACCAGTGTGTGGATTCTGGCAACGTGACCTGCAACGGGAGCCATCTTTCCTCCAGCAGTACATTCTTGCACGGGGGACGAGACAGCGCATCCACAGGTACTCCTCAATCTGCCCACCGCTTCACTCTGCTGCTGGATGGCGGGCCAACCGTCAGGGCCTCAATGCATGCAAGGGACTCATCATATTTTGCAGCCATTGCGGGCCAAGGTGAGTGAGAGCATTTGTTGTCTCTGCCTATCGCTCACCTTTACTCCCTGTTGCTCATCATCAGCTGGTTACTTCGCTCTCCAAATCTGCCTTGATAATAGTGTTAATAGATTCCATTAGATTTATAGACTGCAACTGGCCCTTTTGTTATGCAATGGCGATGTAAACATTGAGTGCATGTATTATTTTGCTTCTTAAATTTTTAACCAATAATAATAATAATAATAATAATAATAATAATAATAATAATAATAATAATAATAATAATAATGCAGATTAAAGGCTTTTATGTATTTATTGATTTCTATTGTTAAGTGTTATTTCATTATTAATAATGAATCATGAGATTGAAACTATTTGCACAGATAATTACTCATGATTTACTATTTTATATCAAAGTTTTAGATCATTAGAAATGCATAAAGTATATAAGCAAGGAATAAAATAGAAGAGAAGAAGAAAAAAAAGGGAATATAAGGAATTCAATAAAAATGTGATTGAATTATAAATATGATTAACAAAAGGATCAGGTAGGCTGAAACATGGTGCAACAGTTTTGTACATTTTTTTGTTGAACAGTTGTCATGCTGTTTATGCAAACATTAAAACAGGGAGACCATGAGCGGTATGCAAATGTTAGTAAGGGTCTCTCTAGTGCTAGATAAAGTCTTTTCAGTGTTCATGGAGGTTTTAATTCACAACAAATCTTTTAATAAAGCCTAATTGTTGGGAAGCTTTACTAATTATATCAATGTGGTAATTGAAGCTCATTCGACTATTAATAATCACTCCATGATCCTTAATCCCAAACATGGTTTCCAAGTCAACACAATCAATAGTATAAATGTGAACAGTATCATTTCTTAATCTTCAGAATTGGTATCTTTTTATATTTCTTAGCATTTAGAATCCTGTCATTATCCTTAGACCAATAACAAAGTGCATTATTTGCATTCTGTAAAATTAAAACATCAGAGAATGATGTGATACTTCAGTAAAATTTAAAATTATCTACTAACAAAAAGAACTCTACATCCTTTATTACCTCTCATAAGTCATTTATAAATATAACAAACACTAAGTGACCTATATGAGACCTGTGGGCCACATAAACATGGACACTGGCTTATTCTCATTTTCCCCAAACAACATTTGCTAAATTGTAATGTCTGAAAAATAACCAATTTATATCGGGATAATTATTGTCTAACAATTTAATAGTGTTACAGTAAGATTGAATAATTTTTTCATTAGACAAAGATGGCTAAAAAAACAACCCATTTACTATTGAGTTATTATTGCTGTTATAAATGCATTCAAGTATGGGTTCAGCGTTTACAGAATATTTTTCCTCAATACTTTAAAACTTTTTAATTCCTATCGAATCTCATCCTCCCTTAGTTTATTGATTACTGATTTGTTGATTTCATTTATATTTCAATTCAATTGAATTAATTCAGGTTGTAATAAATACAATTTTCAGAATAAAACAGAAAATAGATTGAGAAAATAAAGAGTGATTTTTATAAGACTGGGTTAAAGTGACAGTTCGTGAAACAAGAACACGTGCAATTCATAAAAGTATCCTTCCGATACGTCACCTGTTTAGTTATGCCCCTTGGTAGTGTTTGTTTATGGCTTATGCAAAGACATCACTTAACAGAAGTCTGAGTTTCACGTAGGTAGAACGTACATATGCACGTATGCAAGTCCGGGAAATATTGAAGTTTATTTACATATGTGGAAAAATGTAACATTCTCTCACATTCAATAAAAGAAAACTGCCATGAATGTAAATAGAAAGAAAAATGATTTTTCAGGGGATGTTCAAATACCTTTTCTGGAACACAGTGAATGGCATTTTTATTGTGAAGAGGGAAGTTTATTTATAATTATAATACCCTAACTATCAAAACTTGGTAGTAAGTACTCATAACTCAAATGTGTTTTCATAATTGTTTCATATTTCACTAATGCTATGCATTTCAATGCATTCCTTGATTTATCTAGTGTGTCTATTTTCATCTATTTCTTGGATGAATAATAGGCACATTCTTTATATTTACTCTCACCAATTAAAACATCTAAACAGTGAATGCTATCATTTACTTGTATTCTTGCATCCACAACTGAAGGCTTTACTAAATTTTCTTGAGAGTTGTTTCCTTTACAAGCATTCACTTTTCAAATAATATTTTTAATACTAATTCTCAATAGAACATATCTCTACGATGTTAAAGGAATAAATGAAATGCTCCCGAACACCGCTCGCCAGTTGCCACACAGCGCAGAAGCCGGAAACATGTGAACCGTCACCAGTACGCATCTCACTTTCAAGACTCGATTTTAAAACAAACATAATACTTATCACATAAAAACTAAATTCAATGTAATAAAAAAGAATAATTTTTACAGAAGAGCACATAGCTCAGAACTTTCTAATTTAAATTATTTCTCGTGGCGCACTATATTTTCGTCGGACGAGGACATGACAAAAGAAAGCGTCAAAGCCATTTACAAGAGTGTCCAACTGCAAATAAATGAATGAATGAAGGAAGGAGAGTCTAATAGGTTCAAAGACACTACAACCACAGAACCTTCAGTTATGTTGCCAGCACTAGCTGTCGAATCATCCCATTCTAATAAAAATCGCTCTACAGGCAAAGCGTGTGCGCAGACCTGAAGTATCTTTCATTATAGAACTTTATCACTCATTTAATATAGAGCTTTTTCACTCTCAGTATAAAGATAAAAATAGTGGTACCACAACAGCATGCATTTTTATCCTCTTAGTAGCGGTTAGGCAATATTATTATACCATTATTTCTGTCCATATTATCACAACTCAGTCAACACCTATAAAACTTATTACAAATCGAAGATGATGAGGTGCAAACACTATTTCTTATGAAGCTAACATAACACAAATTCGACAATTAAAATTTGTTTCATACAGCTATAACTTTTTCTAACAATGAGAAGCAATTCTCAGAATCTACCAACAATGAGAAGGAATTCTTGGCACAATGTACATTGTTATCAATTCACAATCGTCTGACACTAGCAAATGGAACTCTGGGAAATTTGAAGCTCTATTTTTGATGAACAGATTTCGTGAAGGAAAAAAAAAATTCTTCATTATCAGAGTTGCAGGACGATGTCGAAAAAACGTTTGCATATTTCAACCACAGTTTCATCTTTCAAGTACAACTTCTGTGCTGCAGAATGATTCAGAATTTTTTGTACTGGTTGGTTTTCTAATTTCTGTGGTCTGGGTTAGCTTTTCAGTTTTGCTCCACCTTCTTTCTATTTATGTTATAATATCGTTTCTGCGTGTTTTGCCACATTTTCGCCCATTTTCCCCTCTCATTTATTTCATAATAGTATCAGATTAAAAGGAGCAGTTGCTGTTGATATATAACCAGAAGAGTTTGAGTTATCATCTTCAAAACTAGCTCTGTTAATCCTTTCAGCAGCTTCAGTAAGCTTACTCAATTTAGACAAGCATTCTGCTTTGATATATCTATGCCAACTGTTACAAAAGTAATGTTTACCTCCCTTTTCACATGCTGTCTAGCAGAGATAACAGCCTGACCTTACAGTTTCAGAGAAGATAGCAGGGATATATCTGAAATGCTTTTTGAGATAAATCTGAAGACAGAGTAGACAGTAAAAGATAAATCCGAAATGCTTTCAGGATCCGTATACTACTTGTAAAAACCACTCAATACCCTTCAAAGAAAAGACATTGAATTATGTATTGAATAAAAGACTCGAGCATTTGTATTTATTTTTTGAAATTACTCAGTGTAAAAATTAACTATGAGTAGCTACCAGAGTAAAACCAGTTGCAATGGCTTGTGTAATCAGCAATATACCATCCTTATAAAATTATTTCTTATAAAATTATCTTTCCCTGGAGAAAAATATAGGATGAAAAAGGAAGAGAAATGAGTTTTTAATTGTTTCAAATAGCAGTAACCTGTGATATCAGGAGATTTGTCAAATCATTGTTGGTGTGGGTTATTGCTAGTTGAATCAATTCAAAAACTAATTTCTTGTACTTTTGAAACAGCCAGAGTTGATTTTTAATGTGCACCCTTGTATAAATACATTCTTGTATACATACATACATACATACATATTTGAACATTGTATCAGATCTTTTAAAGGGTATTTTTTACTTTATTTATTAAGGAAAATACTGACATTATTCTGTCCTTGCAGTTATGCTGAATGGTAGTTCATCTATCAGCCTAGAGTCTGAAGCATCCACTATGTCTGGTGATGGACATTCCACCATCTCTCAGGAAACAACGATTATCAAAGATGCAAGAAATGAAGAAGGAACTGTGAAAGATGCTTCTTCTAAGAGACATTCAAGGTACGATAAAGTAGCAAGTTCAGGAAATTCTTAGATTCTGTTTGCTTAGTAAAATGTATGATTATGTTGTTGTTTTGTTGATGTGACTTAAATTTTGTTGTCGAAAGCCTTTTGGAACATGTCCATTGCCCATCCCCAACATGGTCTGCATGCTTAGGCATTTTCAAACATACAACCAAATAGGCACTCAAGCCAACCATCTGTGTTTTACTCCCATGTTCACAATGGTCATTTACAGTTATTTTGATCCATTAGATGTTTTGTCTGGCAGAGCAAATTTTGAAAGAATTTTGAAAGGCATTATGAGAAGATTTAATTACATTGAACATTTAGCCAGTGTTCTTTTACATTGATGAGTGAGATTTGGTATTTTTATTTATGTATTAGAAACACAGACATGAAGAAAAGTTATTGAGAGTTTTTCTCTGTATTGAGATTTTATTTATTTAATTGAAATATTGAAAATTAGTTCAATTTCAAAATAAATCATTCAAATTAATGAACAATTATTGCGAACAAATTTAAACTAGTGGTTTTGCTGCTGTGCATTCTTTGTTGTATTATTTGTATCAAGATGATGATAACTTCTGTGAAAGATGTACAATTTGTATTTAAGTTATACAAGATTTGATCTCCTAAATTCAGCTTGTTCTGTTATTAGAAGATAAATGTATTCTTCAAAAAAAACGATTGAACATCATTACATGAATCAGTGATAATTACATCACATTGGGCCATGCATTACTTGTCTTTTTTGATTTGTGTTCAATAATTCCTAGGATTCAATGGAAAATTTTTTTAATATTATTTTTATATGCACTCAAAGTTGAAATAATTGAGTTGCATTCTATTGCAAAAGGCGTGTTTTGTTTCACAATATCTTATTCCCAAATATGCTTATATTTGCAGATTAAGCCTAATCGGTTAGGAGTTAAGTTTTTACATTGCCATTCCATGTCATGAAAGTCGTAAATGTTGGCGTAACAATAAACTGCGAATATGGTAAAAGTATCGCACATAACTATACCTAATTATATTCACATTCATATTCTTGGCATCCGCCATGAATTTGTCGGGCAATTAAGACCGATATTTTTGAATGAGCTCGTAAGGAGAATCTTAAACTCAATGGCAATGTATAAAATGAAATGTAACAAAAATATGAATGCTGAGAGTTTGTTACACAATGTGGGTTTGAAGTGGCCATGAGGAATCTCAGTTCGATGCCCAGTGATTACAAATCTGCATTTTGAATAGAAACAGAGGCCGTCAACAATTCTGGGATGGATAGAAATTCTGGAGACAGAAGGGAATGTTCTTAGATGGCGTCATATAACAGACTGTGAACAATCCAAAATTTAGTCCCCAAAACATCTAAGAGGGGTCTAAAAAGTAAGAAAATGTCACAGCATGGACGGGGGACCAAAAATATAGAAACATTGATACATATGAGGGTAATGACAAAAACCATGATTATGGTGATATCAAGGAACAAGAAAATAATAGTTAAGCAATAAGTCTTAACATTCTCATCAACAAGGCAATTTTCTAGTCAATACGACATTTTGCAATTTTATTTTGACTAAATATTAAGAATGAGTTTAAAATTTTAAAAAGTCTCAGGAGGTGTTTTCAAAATTAGAGGGTCATCTTATATTTGAGTTCAACTTATATTTGGGTTAATATAGTATATTCTGAGTTTCATCTGTGGACATGTCAACCTAATCTTAAAAGTCCGGGGATTGTGCATCTTGGGTTCTTTGTGGGGGAATTACTCTGTGATACTCAGTGTTTTGGATAAACTGCAGAGTCTTTTTATTTGATACCTACTGCTTTGATTCAGAAGTACAATCTGCTTTATATTCATTATGGCTGAGAAGGTTATGTCAGGAAATTGCGAGGTGTGTTAAGAGCCGGGGATAGTTGATGGTGACAAGATGTTTTTTGATTGTGACAGCTGTCAATGGCATTTTCATGTCATCTATGCTGAATGAATGTCATCTGAAGTTCAATGCCATGAGTTGAGAAAGCGTACACTTAAATTTTTAAGCATCGATTGTCAGGGTGGCTTGCTATGCCTACCTAAACTGGTCGCTGATGTGGCCAAATTGTCAGCTGAAGTGGATGAACGTCATCAAAAGCTGATTGTATTCTTAGTGTTGCTGGCGAGGTCACTGACAGTTGGGTTCGCAAAAACAATGTGTTAATTTTCAACATGGAAGAATCTACAGCCACTAGCACAGTCCTTCACTTTGGTAGAAACAACCCTAGATTCCATTATATGATACAGGGACAAACATTAGCGGCCACAACAAAAGAAAATGATTTGGGAGTAGTTGTGAAACAATTTGAAATGGGAGATCCAAACAGCGGAAGTTACCAGAAAGGCAAATTTCACACTCTACCTAATAAGAGTTTTCTCTGAACTAAAATCTCCATTCGTTAAGATCTATATGACATATTAGACCAATTGTGGAATATGCCAGTGCAGTTTGGTCTTCATATTAGAAAAAAGATATGGTCTCACAAGAGAAAATACAAAGGAAATTGACAAAAACTGTTGTAGATCTTCAGTACTTGGATTATGAAACAAGATGCCATGAGATGTCCATTATGACATTGGAGTTGAGAAGGCAAAGAAGTAATATCATTGAAACTTACACAATCCTGGATAAGGCTTATGACAACCAAACATTCAAAGATATTTTTGAAAGGAGTCCGTACGAACGACTTGCAAGGACTCAGCTAAAAAATTAGAAGGGAGCGCACTAGAACCATGCAACGACACAATTTCTTGAAAAACAGAGTGGCCAAGGCATAGAACAATTGACCTGTGTTTCCAAGACTTCAACAACTTTATTTTCAACCTACTTGGATAAATATGGGAGATGAATTAATCTTACTACAACTTTTCCTTCTATTGTTTTCTTTTATTTTGTAATCCATTATATATGCTCATTATGTATTATATATTATTGCTTACCTTAGTTATCTTATACAATTATATATAATGAAAATGATAAAAACTGTTCTGATTCTGGTATGACATTTAATGATCATATCCAGTGCACTGTAAATAAATCTATCCAATCTTAGGTTTCATAAAGTGCATCTGTTATGAATTTCATTCTATTATGACATTAAAATGGCTCTTTAAGTGAGTTCAACTAATTTTGATGTTCTCTGTTGTATTGTCTCCCTTTTTTGGCAACCATATATCAAGTGTAGAGACAGTGCAAGATAAATTATTCAGGATTGCTGCTTGGTGCATGGTGGTACTGGACCCTTTCATAGATCACAGTTATGCACACATTGCATCATGGCTTGACATTCCTTCTCTTAAATTCCAAAGCCCTCTGAATCATCTGATCTTTTTGTGCAAGTTGGTTAGAGGTGATTTGAATTGTATGTTTCTTTCTGACATACTTCTTTATAAGTCACCTTCTTTCAACTCAAGAAATAATGATATCTTTTGACTTTAAATTATATAGAATTTGTAACCTTTTATATTTGATCTATCAATGTGTTTCAAGATAATATGGCCTCTTTCTTGTTCGATGCAAGGAGTAGAATATTTGAATTTTTATAATTTTGATATCTATTGGATAGATGATTGTTGTGAATATTTGCTTACTAACTATTTTCTTTCTTTTCATATCTCGAACCCATATTTTGTTGCATTATAGAACTCCATAGTTTCTGGCTTCTTTTTTCCTTCTTCACGATGATGTGTGCTGAAAAGTATGAAGTTCTTTGTCTTTGACTGATACTCTGTCAAGGTGCAGTTTGTGTTCCCTGGAGTGTGTCATAAAAGAACAGTCTTATAAAGTTCAGCATTTCGCTTGAACTTCACAGTGAAAATTTGTCAGTTGTTTCATTTCTTCCTTGGTTTAGAAATTGCTCCAAAAGATGAAGAACAACAAATTCACCCAATTGTTGTTTATTTGGTCGAACATCCTCATTGCCAAGATAGGGAGAGACATTGCATTTGCGCTTTGTTTTTACATCAGCCGTCACCCAACATTTCAGTTCGTATTTGTTGGGTTTGTTTGGAAAAACTGGATTTAACTTCACCTAATTTTGTATGGAAGTAATTGCTCATCGATTGTTACATTTTCACCTGGGTGATAGCAATGAATGCAGTATTCTACAAAACTCTCCCACATTTCTGACACTAGAGCAAACTTATCAGCACAAAGGCAATCAGCTCAGGTTGATTTTTCATCAAAATGGAGAAATCTGAGAAGGTGATGAAATCTCTCTCTTGACATTATGTCCTTTGTAAATTTTGTTCCCCATAAACGAGACCAAAGATCATCCACTGATATTCCCTTTGCACAAAACCCTCTTCGTGCTTTCACAATGCTGATCATTGCCTCCTACTCTTTGAGACACATAGTCCAGTTGTTGTTTTTCAGTACTTTTCATGCTTCTTATTCAGTATTACTCTTCATGAGGCAAAGCATTGGTTCATAAGTAGCAAATGGAAGGAACTTATCCGTTCATTCACCAGAAAGTTCTTGATGAGGGACCGCCTTATTCTTTTAAGACATTCACGGCTCTTCTTCTTCCAGCTGACAAGGATGTCCTCCCACTCAGTTCTGTCTCTGGCAACAATTTTCACTGTTAGGGTATTTGGCTGGCCCTGTTGAGATGATCATGGAGAAGAGTGGGCTACATCAACTATCGCATCTTCTTCCACTGACAGTTCATCAATTGAACTTCTGGCTTCATCCTCACTATTTCTGGGCATAAAATTATCTGAATCAGTTATATCACTTCCTGAATCGAAACCCATACTTAACAGCATACTCAACAAAGAGACCTAATATTATGAACGTGCAAGCTACAGCATTCTGACAAAGAAACTAAAATGAGTATAAAAAATGGAATGAAACTTATCAGAGATTGGTACTCATTGAAACTTGCGGTACTCATTGAAACTTGCGCTCGTCTCATTCTTTACTTTCTGGGAAGGATACAATCGTCAAATCAAGCAATCAAACAATTATCTCTTCTATATTCGGTGTAAACTGTACGACAATAGTGTAAACACCGACACATCCGATTACCTGATTCCTTCGGCGATTCAGCTTTGCCCGGCTGCTTCGTCGGCAGACTCCCTAGAGGGAGGCATGCATGATTGCCTAACTACGTGAGGGAAAGACGTAGGCATTTTCATAAAACTACTTTAATCACTTTAGTATCGGGTGTGGGTGAATCCCAGTAACATGAATAAACTTACAACTAACTTAAAACTAATCATAACTTAGTAACGGCCGGTATGGCCAGAGTTCATCTTAGCTCGGGTGTCGTTGCCCTCCCGGGCGGCCGTGATCCAGCTCACAGATGCGGCGTTCGGGCATCCCAGCCCCCCGGCAGGTCAGGCGGCAGGAAGCTACGGGCGTTGCTTGCACCAGGTCCCTTTGTGGCGGCCCCTTGGCGGTCACGGCGGCGGCCCCGGATTAGGCCAGCGGCGTGCGTCGACCGGCGGCTTCTCAGCGGCGCTTGGTGCGGGCGGCGGCGGGAACGCGCCCGGGCGCTGACGGCTCTTTTCGCGATATAGTTTTTTTAAATCCCCGGCTCGTACTCACATGGCCCTTTCGGTCAAGCACTCACTGGTAGTGTCCCGTCTCATCGGCCGGCTGTCGTCACACGAGTCGGGCTGCGATGTGGCGAGGTGGCGTGGCATTTGGGTCGACCAAGCACGAATTAAGTGGCCTCGCTACTGCCTCAAAAGCAAGTGTCCTCGCGGCTCACAACGCAAATGCTCCTCCTGCCGCCTCCGAAAGAAGTGATCTCCTCGCTACCTCCGATGCAAGTGATGGATCCTCTCATCCGCGGTCCCTCAGGAAGGCTCGCGTACCACGTCATCCCCCCCCCCGCATCGTCTACTTTTATTGGTTGTCGCACCACCCGTAATCCTTCCGCCTATAACGGCGCCAGCGGTGAAGCTGCCCCCGGTAACTTCCCCCGAAGTAACCTACGTCTCCTAAATTCTCGGAAATAGTCGCGGGTAATTCCGTTGCTCGGTAAGGGGGTGTGAGTGGCGTGCTTCCCCACACGTCATAAGGGGTGCGCCCGGCATGGATCTCGCTGAAGGCGCTATTTCCTCCTTTCCCCCGGCGCGCTAATCGGCTCTTACTCAGGTACAGCAAGAAACGGCATTTCCGGCTGCTCTTAACGGCAGCGCGATTCTGAATGAAATAAAATAAATATATGGCTCGTGTCGTCTTCCGCGATGTGCGACCGTCCCATTACAATAGATATCGCATCATTCCTTGAAGAAAGGGATATCTCCTAAGACTGTGATACAGTAGTATCTTCATGATAATGAAACGATTAAACGGAACACACACCGATCAAGTTCGGAATATAGTATTTTACAAATGAAATAATAAATGTTAAAATGACCCCTCCCGCTGTTGTAGGTATATCACATGATAAAACCTTAAAAAAATAACATTTTATAGATTCCAACTATATCATTATAAAGAATAAAAAATGAGGAAAAGTCACAATGTTTGAAAGAAAACATTTAAAAACTGAATTTGGTATTGAAGAAACGACTGATGTAGGTGTCATTTTGACCCCTGCTACTGTTCTAGGGTTAATTCAAAATCACAAAGTAAGTCTATGCTTTCCAGTATTGAATACACTAAAGTGTTGAATGTTTTCAGTTCCACCATCTTACATTGCACAGACTTCAGCGACCACGTGCATGAGATTTGTACTTTTTGACCTTGTCTTACTTACTCTTACCCAAAACCCAAAGACTCATCACTCCCAATCAGCCATATTGTGTCAGTGTTAGAGTTAAACATGCAGGTTCAGTGTGAGATGTCTGTAACCAGACACTTGGCTCATTGATATTCAGTAACAACATCATTGGATGTAACTACTCCAAGATTGTTCTCTGCCAGTGTAGTGCAAAGGGAATAATTTGCAGTACAACTGTACTGTGGATTATTTCATTTATTTCAATTCATATAACAGGCAACCACCCAATTTTACATTTAGTGTTCATTGGGTATGTGACCTAAATTTGGTAATTGGATAAGATCATTTTCATTTTAAATCATTTAGAGAATATAAAAGCTTTTTTAATAAGTTGTGAAAGGAAGTAGCCATGTTTCTGACCTCCCATTTACCTGTTCATGGTCAGATTGTAGCACCTGTGTTTTCATGTGTTAGCAAATAATTTGGTGTCATCAGCGTACCTGTTCCAGTCAGAAGAGAGTTCATCTTTGATGTCGTTCTTCATGCAGGCCTTTTATAGATATTATCTTAAACTAGCGATGCTAACAGCACATACTTTCTCGCATTGATTCTAATTTGCAATTTCCCAAAATTCCGATAGTTCAATGAAAATGAGACCTTCGTCATCCTTTTATGCATCCCTTCTTCTATTTGTGGAAAAAAATTGGAGTGGTTTTTGAGAAAATGTTTTTTTAGAAATTGCATTAATTTCAAGGCCAAATTTTGTGAGAACTACTACTTTTTAAAAAAAATGTATGTACTGATGTTTCAGTAAGGAGCTTTACTATCAGTGTATACTCTACAAAATTATTTAAAATACTTATTGCCATGTAAGCAAATAAAATGTTCACTAGTTACAGATTGGAAGAATGTAACAGTACAATGTACATGACGTTTTTTAAAGAGTTGTTTTTTTAAATAGACTTTTTCTAAGGCTAAAATCTCTATCTTCAATTTTGTAGTTTTGAAATGTTAACATTTCGCAATTTTCAAAAATACAGAGTTTCAAAATATTTGGAGTGTTTTTTGAGAAAAATAATATTTATGGAAAAGTCTATATTTTGCCCCAGATGACCAGAAAAGTACTTACATATTCGAAAAATTTAATGTGACTTTATTTGAAGATCTGTTTTTAAAGAACGGATTTCATTAAGAAAATAATCTCGGTCTTCAATATTGTAGTGGTAGCAAGTTCCCCTCCCCCCTCTGAAAAAAATTGCACTTTAGCTGGTTTTGAAAAATTAGAGATTTTATCAAACATGAAACCTGCACCATTCTCTTAAACACTGTTTCCATTATCTGAGTACATAGTTTAATCATAAAATTTGGAGCCATTTGTAAGAAAATTTTCAAAATGTTTTCGATGCTTCGTTTCAAGTACCCCCAAAATATACGTTTGAAACTTCTTAATCTTCGAGTTCATTCAGATCAATCAGTGAATATCAATTTTGGAGAAAATCGGCTGAACAGGGTAAGCACTAGACAGACATATTTTGCCATCAATTAATATATTGGTATGAAGGGCCCACAAAACATTGATTCTGGCTGTACCCTGTGTTAGAACAAGTAAATTACTAAATACAGGAACAGGATTTATCTATTTTTCGTTACCAGGGCCTGGCAACAAGTTTTTGTGCTGAAAATTTGCTGTATTCTAGCGCTTGATTGCTTAACTTTCTCTTCTTACGAAGTAAGTGCGAGAAAGTAAAAATTGTAAAAGTATCCAACAAATGAATGCTTCAGAATGACTACTGGTAATTGTCAGTATAAACTACCTGTGAAGTTCCTGGTCCTCAAATTAAACATTAGAATACCAGTCACCTTGGCCAAATAGTGAGTGATCAATTCATACTCTTCTAACCAATTTCTGTTTTCTTCTTAAAAATTCCACCTAACTTCGCCTCACAAGAATGTAAGTAAACAAAAAGAAATACCTGTCAATCATATGAAGTGAAGTGGAAGAGGAAGGGATATGATGCTCAAACACCTGCCCAAGCTGACAGAGTTATGATGTCAGTGATTCCTATTGGCATGAGACAAATTATTTCTCCATTTCGTCCCAGTTTTACTCGGAAATATGTTGTCCTAAATCAGTAAGGTTTTGTTTATTAGAATTTTTCTTTGATTGGTATTAATTTATAGTATTCAGAAAGAATTTTCAGGTATAGGAATGATCCCTATTACACAAGTAACTCATTAGTTGATATATTTGGACAAAAATATATATAACGAAAATTGTTGCACCAATTGTGATTATGAATAAAAATATTTTCTACACAGTGTTGCTTTAGTTCATGACAAGAGGCTTGCCCTCTTGCTCATTATCTGTAACATCGTAACAAGCATAGAACAAGCTTAATATAATGACAATGATAATAATAACTGTTTTAAAATAAGTTTGAATGTCTATATTGTGTTCAGGTCTCTGAGCATGGCCCAGATGCCTGTGAGGTTTGACAAGCTACAGCCAGGTGAAGTGAAAGACCTCCTGCTGTGTTTCTTATTTGTGGTGAAACATCTGGGGGATGAGAGCCTGGTGGCATGGTGGCAACAGTGTTCAGAAGCTGAAGTACTGTGTTATTTCAGAGGAATTGAGTAAGATTTTATTTTAAATATTAATACATTGATATTTGGACTCACGCTAATCACTAATAACATTATGAAAATTCGGTTTACTTCTATAACGGTCAATGCTTTTTGTTTTTAATAATTCTTATGTTGAATAAAGGCCAGTAACATACAGACTAAATTGTACATCTGGAGTACAATTTTGATAAAATATTGTTGGCTTTAATTCTATTAAATTTCCAAATGCAGATAATAACAATTTATATTTATAATTATTATGTTGCATTGTTTATCTCAGTTTTCTGTATTGTTAGCTACAAATTCTAAAAAATTGTTAAATAAAGAATAAAAATAATAAGAATAAGTGAATGAGAGTGAGAAAAGAAATGAGAGTGATAGCAATAGCAGTAGCAATTCCTCTCAACTACAGCTCATAGCCCATTTCAATAAATTAACTTTAGTCACAATAACAAGAAATGCAAATTAAAGATATATATGTACAGAATGTGAATCACTACTGATGTTATTCTTTAGCACTCTAATTTGCTTACTTCTTCTTAACAATCTTATTGAAGAAATCTTTTTGTGAAGGGTATAAAAATAATTCTTATTTTTTTCACACAGGATGTGCCTACACCAGTTTAAGTACACAGGGAAGCGCCAAATTGCTAATAGGAGTGGCTCAGGAAAGCCTGGATCAGCTAAAGCAATGACTCTGCCTGCACGAATGCAACCTCCAGACTTCTCAAGTGAAACAGCTGCGCTTGCTTCCCACAGTGGCAGTAGCAGTGTGGGGCGAGATGCTGCACAGCACATTGGTACTATTTAGAAGCTCTTAATTACTCTTGTAACTCTCAACTAGGTTACAACGCACATGCTTAGTCTTTTCCTCCTTGGAAGTTAACTGTAAGTAATCCTATTTATTTCCTTTACAGTGCAAGAAAATGACTCAAGCAAGCTGTACCAAGCTCTTCTTGAGGCTAACATGGCAACTGAAGTGGGACTCATAGCTTTGGATTCTTTGGGACTTTATTGCATACACTTTAAGGTAGAAAAGATAATGGAATATTAGAGAAATAAGGCACACATTACTAATCATGTTTGTGGCGATGATTTGGCATTAAAAACTACATCTTGGTGTACCACAAGTAGACTCAGTTTGAGAAGACTTAAATATTTACAATTCATTATGAGAGAGAAAATGTTTGTACTGTTTATCATTGGCTGTGTGGTTTATCATCTCTGTGTTTCATTGCTGGCAAAAATCATTTTTTTTTAAAATTAAAATACATTCATTCAATTGTATTAAACATTATTAACATTGTTGCATTTTCAACATGGTCGTGGAAAAGTACTAAACTTGCTTGTTGATCTACAGGAAAATGCCTTCGCTTTTCCCAACAGCTTTTATTTTTTCTATATGTATTTTCAATTTGTCTGAAACTTCATATTTTTTCTCCCTGTAGAACCTAAATGAAGTTGATGAACATATATATCTGAATCTTTATACAGTAAAACCCCGTTTTTACATTCCCGCATTTTATGTTTTTCTGTCTTTTATGTAATATTTTGTTGGTCCCGTTGAAAAGCCAATATTTACAATGCATTCTCTTCCTGCAATTTACAACTTAATACGAAGAGTGCTTCCCGTTTTTTTTTTTTTTACTTTCTTGTATACGTACGTATTGCACCTATTGCAGAGAAAGTCATGTAAACAGATTTTTTGACAGAAAAACTCGTACTGATACAAAAAAGTGGTTAAACCCTGTGTTCCAATATGTTGTGAATTACTACATATGTATGTAACGAACTCACAAAAGCTATGAGTTCGTTCAGATCAATCAGGGAATATCAGTTTTGTGAGAGAGTCAGAGAAAATTGTCTGACAGTTTAGGCACTAGCCTTGACCACAGCCGGACAAAAAGACGCCGTCAATTGATTTTGTGGATTCAAGGACCCATAAAGCAGGGATTCAATCTACACCACATGTTAGAGGAAGTAATTTACTATATATAGGAATATGATTTATCCACTTTTCCATTAACAGGACCCAACATTCGATTTTCTGATGAAGTTGGCTATTTTCTGTGCATGATTTTACTTTCTCTTCTTACAACGGGCAAGAAAGTAAATACAGCTACCATTGCAGTAAATAATAAAAGTACTCACCTAGCCTAAAGTTTTTCATCTTTCCTGTACTTTACACTTTCCTGCATTTTACACTTTTTTCTTCGGTTCCCTGTAAAGTGTAAAAAAAGGGTTTTGCTGTAATGTTTTCATCGCATTAGATGAGCTAGCAAATTCTAAATGATAACCATACTTATACTGAAATAATAATTCCTTTGTGCTATTGTAGGAAAATATTTTAGCAAAAATATTTCATCTGCTTGCAAAACATTTTTTTGTTCAAATAATTTATAAATACTGTTATGGTTCAAGCAATAATCTCTTTTGTTGAAGGATATCTTATTAGTTGGCAGTGGAGACAACCTTGTCATGAGGAAGTTATTCGACATCTACTTATCGTTTCTGCAAGTAGGCCAATCAGAAACACTTTTTCGACATGTGTTTGCAGCATTAAGAGCATACATTAATAATTTTTCTATAGCACTCTTTCAAGGTTAGTGACATTTTTGTTGATAATTTTGTAAATAATTATGTATTAACATTATTGCTGTTCACTCAGTTATAAATTTCAAAACTCATTTCTTCACCAAAATATCTTTGTGAGAGCCTTTAAAAAATTAGGTTATTGTTCTTCTTGCTGGTTTCTTAACTGCAACTTTGGTCTTCTGGTGCCTAAACTTGTTCTTCAGTGTCTTCTCTGTTCTTCCAGTAATCAAAAGGTAATTTTCACTTCTCTTATTCTCACATTATCTTTCTGATCTGGTCTTTCCATCCTGATCTTGATCTTCCTTGTTTTCTCCTTTCACTTGGTTGCCATTCTAATTATCTTTTCTGTATCACTGTATTATTCACTGTATATGTCCAAACCAAGTGAGTTGTTTCTTTCTAATTTCCTCTATACTATGTTGCAGATTCATTATTTCCTTAACCCATTAATTCCATCCCTTCCAGATATTGCTGCAGCTCTTCTGAGGAAATCTATTTCCATGGTTCTCAATTTTTTTTCAGTTGTTCTGAAAGTTGCTATATTTCTGCTCCATACAATGCAATGCTTTCAATCATACATATACATGTTCTAATTTTTGTTTTCTTGCTTATATTTGGATCCCAGATCACCGTATTCAAGGATCCTAAAATTTTTCTTCTTTTAATGCCTCGGGTTGAACATTCTTTTCCATAAAAACTCTGTTTCCCTAGTGTTGTTCTCTAATACTTTATGATCTCTGTTGTTCTTATTATTTTTGCGGTTTCCTTAGTCAATTCATCATATGTACTGTCTAGTGTTCGGTATATAACTGATTTTTCTAGGTTGAGGCTTAGTCCCCATTTCTCATAATCTTCTTTAATCTTCCTGATCATATATTCAACATTTTCCTGTTGTTGAGCATCAGCAAACTGGTATTATCATCAAGTGTATCAATTCATAATCCACAGTAGCTTAGGTGTTCCATTCTTTATCATTTCGTTTGGTATTTTTCCTGGACCTGTGACATTACTGCCTTTTTTATTTCTTTGATACAACTCATAATCCCCTCTTTGGTTATTGTAATATCTCTGGTCGCTGTATGTAGTTCCAAGATAATCTGATCTTCCTTCATTTAATAATTTTCTAAAGTACTCTTCCCATTTACTTACAGATATACTTTGTGTGAAGACTTTTTCCATTTGGGAAGATTTCGCTTGTTTTTGTTCTACCCAAGAACATTTCTACTTTTTGGTATTTACGCTCTCGTGATTGTTGTTTTCCTTTTCTTATCGTGTTTCTAATTCTATTTCATTGGATTTTATATTCCTCCCTATTTTGCGCTTTGTTGATACTTGACTATTTTCATACAGTCTCTTCTTCTCTTCAGTTTCCCTCTCCAGGTCTTGAGTAATGCAACAGCTCCTCCTTCTCCTTTTCTTATTTAAAGGTATTCCTTTAAGTGCTTCTTTAGCTGCTTGATGTAGACTATCTTAGAGGTGTTCATGTATCTCCTTATTTGATCCAACTACGTTTTCATTCAGCAAATTTTCCAATCTGTTTTGAAATAAATATGTTATATTCAGTTCTGAAAGATCCTCTCTATTATATTTCCTACCTTCACTATTTTTATTTTTGTATTCTTTGTTCTATTTTCTCTATTTCTTTTTGTCTGTAGGTGGAAACTAAATTTGGGCCTTCACTAAATAATGGTTAGATCTACATTCTGGGCCTCTGTGTGCCCTGACATCCATTACTTTATAATAATATGTTAAATATTGCCTAGTGATTATGTAATCAATCACAAATCTCCTTCCTCTTACCTTATCTTGCCAAGTGGACATATGCTTATCTTTATATTGAAAGTAGCCATTTCTGATTATAACTTCATGCTGTTCACAAAGTAGAATCAATTTTCTTCCATTTGAATTTTCCATCTCATCTTCATGTTGTCCAACGACTTTTGAGATCTCATATTGTCACACTAGGATTAATATTGCCCAATAAAATAAGTTCTCTATTTACCCCACATTCACTGATTACCCCATCTAGTTTTGAATAAAACTCCTCTTAAATACTAGTATTTTCATTTTCATTCGGGCCATTCCAAGAATCATTATTTTGTATCAAAACTTTCCAAGATTTACTTCAATCAGCCTCTAGCTTCACCAATTTTATTATGGTTTCTGAATTTATTTTGTGTAACTATGGAAATCCCTTTACTACTTCTCTGATCTTTTGGTACTCTGCTCCAAATATGAACACAGGGTCTAATCTCTTCTATACCCAGCCCCTTTTTCTTTGTCTCATTTAAATTTGCAATTTCCATATTTAAATCTTGAAGTTCTTTAATTCCTGCTTTACTTTATTTCCCAAACCTTGAGTATTCCATGTTCTAATATTCATTATCCATTTCCTTTGCCTTGTTCATCTGTGTGTTACCATTTGTTTTCTCATGATTAGGCTTTTTAGCATTTCATAGTTTTTACATGAGTGAGGAGCTGGCGCGTCGTCCCAACCCCGCAACTAGGAGGACCAGGATTTTTTTAGGGTTTGCTCCCCTAGGAGGCTGCCTTTGAATTTCTTCCCAGATCTCTTTAGGAATCTTCTAGTTCCATTGGCGAGATCATACCCGTATCCTTCATCCCTAAGAAGAAATGTAGGCTAGGAGATCTGCCTAAATCTTTCAGGTCATCTTAGAGATCCTCTTCTGCACCCTGTACTGGATGGTCTCTTTTTACCTGGTCCTCTTCTGTTTTCTCTTTATTATTTAAAGGGCTGCTTATTAGAATGTTTATACCAAATCTATTGCACTAAATCGTTGTCTCAGAATATGTTTCTTTGTCACTATATGTCAAAGAGAATTGAAATGAACTGAACTGAAGAACACTATTTATTTTTGAAATGAGAATAAAAGATAAGAAATATTTCTTTATATAAAGATAACTGCTAGGCAAGAAATATGTTTTAATGTTAAATCTAGGAAATGCTGTGCTATGTGGTCGCCTATGTTATGAATTACTTCGATGCTGCAACAGTAGATTGTCCACTATTCGACAAGAATCATGTGCTTTACTGTATCTTCTTATGCGGAGCAACTTTGAGTTTACATCTCGCAAAGGACTCACCCGAGTGCATTTGCAGGTGAGTATTCTACCTAGATCCTATAATGATCTCTCTCTTAACTCTTTTGAAACTTCGACAAGTATGACAGAATACTGTGGATTTCAATTTGTGTTTATGATAATGTTAGTACTTGACATAACTATTAGATTCATGGTGTTGGTGTATCACCTTTGAACATTGTTGTAATCGGTAGATTATATGTAAAATTCAGTTGACTTGAAATTTTTAAACTGTGCTCATTTCGAGAGAAAATAATCAGGTTTTTAACATAGGTATGGTTTTGTGAATAGGAAAGTAGGAACTTTATTGTGAATATTTACTTGCTAGCTAAATGCAGACAGTATTTCTTGAATCTGTAAATTGGATATACAATTGTGAAGTAAGAACAGACCGAAGGTTTATCTGTTCACTCAAAGAGGGGGCACCAGATCTTTTGAATTTAATGTTCTATTTTCAGTGAAACTCTGTTTATATGTTTCACACTAATATGTTTTTCTTGCATATGCGTTTTTTTTGGCAAGTCCTTGATAAATTGCTACAATTCCCATATGTGTTTTACGTTTTTACCCTTTTCACATTAAAAATAAATAATGCATAATAAAAGTCCCTTTAAGACCATATAATTCAAATGTTCCTGCAGAGGTGATGTGTTGATCTGTGCTGAGTGCCCGGAATTTTTCTTGAGTCAGCACACTCCAGAGTGCTCGTGTGGAGCGACCTTTTGATCTCTGAGGTGGCTTCCTGTTAATGAAACTAGTAATATGGAAGCTCAACTTGGCCTAGCTGAGGGGCCAAGACTGCGCGAATCTGCAGGGTGGTAGCGCAAAGTCGGCTCCCAGGCCACCTCCAGCAGTGGAACTTTGAACAATTTCAGAGTTGCTGTGGAAAGGGAACAGGAAACTGTGGATAAATTTAATTTTCAAAAAACTTACTTTTTTTGACATTTTTAAAAATTTCAATCATTTGCTATTTTAAAATAACATTTTAAATAAAAACTTAATATATAAATTTATAGTTAATTTTAAGACCAGAGATAAATTTATAGGGATTTTAAGACTAATCATGGAAAATGTTTTGTGCACTACTGCACCCTAAAGGCGAATCATAATGTTAAACACACCAAGATAACATACTTTTTCATTAGTAATTTTTTAAACTGCATATTGAATTATTCTTTTTGATAATATCTTTTCTAATGAAACGGTAATGTAAAAACATTGAGTTTTTGTTTTGCTCATAATATTCAATTTCAATTATGAATTTTTCTGACATACATTTTTCCCTTCAGTCCCCTGAAAAACATATAAGTGAAGTTTTACTGTAAGGAAGATTTATTCAATAAGGGCAAGCCATAAGGAGAGGAATCCAAGAAACAAAGAATATTGTTCATGTATAAATGTTGAAAATTTTGATTTAGCGCATGAAATAATTTTCCTCTGAGATTTGTTATGTAAGTTTCACTAAATCAAAGTGCCCTACGCCTTTTCCTTGATGAATTAGAATTTATGTAATGCAATATATAGTTGTTATTATTATTGTTATCAGTTGTTCCTACAATATATTATTATTTGTACTACTATTACTATTATTATTATTATTGTTGTTGTTATTATTTTTATTATTATTATTATTATTATTATTATTATTATTATTATTATTATACTATTACTAATTCAACTGTCTTTAGGCAGATTTCCTTCTTTGAGTTGTAGCTATTATATAGACCTCTAATGATTCATTTAATCTGGTTATTAGGTGATCATCTCAGTCTCTCAGATGTTGGGCAACATTGTGGGTCTGAATAATGCTCGATTTCAGGAGAGCCTTTCCCTTATCAACAGCTATGCTAGCAGTGACAAGGTGATGAAAGGAACAGGTATGTTTTTGTTTTTTATTCAGTTTTTATTACCGTATACCAGATATTTGTGGCTTGATATATTTCATTTGTGGAAGAAACTTTTGCAGAAACAGCTGATTTTGTTTAAAATAAACTGTATGTGTTTTAGATGTCTCCCTTTTGACATTTCTGACTTTGAGCATTGAGCAGTGGCTTATCACTCAGCTGCCAAGTTGATTCCTTTAGTGTATTTAGTCATATGCAAAATTACTTTGATACTAATTACGAACATTTCAAGCTGGAAAGATGGTGGTCATGTACTATTACAATGAGTCACATTCATTTTTAGATTTAATTTTCACAGTCATTTTCATTTTTGTTGACAAACTTATGACCAATATTTTGTCATTCTGCAAATTAGAGAAATTCCGCATAATAAATTATCTTTCGAGGTGCAATCAGTTTCCCATAGGAAATTTTAGTTTTCATGAACAAAGCCATGAAAATTTTAGTTTACATGACTTTGCTGTATATCAAGTCTTCTGTGCCACACTAGGACACACACTACAGCTATGGTGCTCATCTTAGAGAGGAGAGGGTTGAGGCCTGCTGCATGAATGAATTTTTGTCACCTACGGAAATATTCCAAGTCTCTTTTCTGATTAAGCATGCTGAGTGGATACTACAGACAAAACAACTGCTATTGGAGCGGAGAAAACCCCTCACCTGCTTCAGGAAGTGTAGTGTTCATTGAGTTCCACGAGAATTATGGGACCTAAGTTTTTTCAACACCACTGTTCCTTTTGATGTTTACATAAATCACATATTGATATTATTCTTTGAATAATTGACACCACAAGAGAGGCTTTATTGCTATTTTTAACAGAATTCAGCAACTACTCACAATGCTGTTCGATCCATGATTTTTTTTAAATACTGTTTATAGTGACGATCGAATTATTCATCGTGGGTTATGGTCTCCTAATTCACCTGATCTGACCTCTTGTGACCTTGAAGTTTCCCTTCAAGGTTTAAAAAGTTTCTCTCTGAGTGTCATGGTTGTCTTGTTTAGTTCTTCTTTGAAGATTTTTATCATTTCTTGATATTTGTCAGCCATCTTTACATTGGGAGGACAGTACACAAACACTTCAGAATCCTCTTCCTTACTTTTGAGATGTGACTTAAATGATAATTAGTATGGCAGTTCACGGAACTCTTTATGGCTTTAGATATAGTCTTCTTGCATTAATTGCATATATCTACTTTCTCTCATAGAAGTTCACAACCCTAACTAATGCAGGACCTCTGACAATGCCATTGTTCCAGGTAGATAAAACGCATATGCTTCAGCATACCTTCCTGTGCAAAGACATGCACATCTCTGCAAGTTGAATGCAAGTCCACAACTGTCACTGGCTAATAAATACATTTTCCTTATATCTTTCAGTATGGTGTAAATTCATTTGTGTAGTAGACCCCAAATTTGTTCATGTTACAGGAAATTTCATGTTAAGGGAGTATATGCTAAAGCTTTGCAGTATAATTAAGTATTATAATGAAATTAATTTTCACAGGATTCCCAGGTGAGGTGAAGGACCTGACTCGGCGCATTCGAACGGTGCTCATGGCCACTGCTCAGATGCGTGAGCATCACCAAGACCCGGAGACCCTGGTGGATCTGCAACACAGCCTGGCCAACTCGTACGCCTCGACGCCTGAGCTCCGTCACACCTGGTTGGAGACAATGGCCCGTAACCATGAGCGAGACAGCTATTACTCGGAGGCAGCCTGCTGCCAGCTCCACATTGCTGCGCTGATGGCAGAATACCTCAAACTGCGTGGGTCCCTTTCATGGGGAGCAGAGGCCTTTGCCAAAATATCTTCCAACATTGAACGTGATGAAAGAGGTCTCAAGTTGGATGCAGGTACACTTTCCTCACTCTGCCTTTCCTCACTCACTTTTAGGCATTCTGAAGAAATTCCTTTGAAGCGATATCCTCTTCTGCCATGTTGAAACATGAGAGTATGATACAATTTTGTTCTTTTTATGCTCCTAATTTTATACATTTTGTTGAAACGATGTTGATGCAGACATGAAGTGTTGAAAAAATCATAAATTTCTAAGTTCATGTGAAATTTCCTAGTTTCACTGCCACAAACTTTCATTGTTCACATTTTGCTTCACTTATACATGTTCAAACCAAAACCAAAGTTTCTCCTAACACTGTAGAAATTCAAATGGTTCTTTGATTTAACTTTTTGGTTCTAATAGTTTTTATTATCTATTTCCTTAAATCTCATTTCCTGCCAATATTACAAAAGTGCTTTGTTATGGCATTTGTTTGTTGGTGTGTGTTTTGTTTAAAATTGTAGCGTTGCACTCTTCATTGAAAGTTGTTTAGAAAATACAAGAGTGAATGGATGATTGAAATTAATTTTCTTTTTAAATTTAATTTTATTTTATTATTTATTAATTAATTATTATTTTATTATTATTTATATTATTATTATATTAATTATTATTTAATTTTTCCAGGAGTCCAGGATGTGCAGTATACAGAACTCACATTGCGAGAGCAGCTGGAAAAATGTGCTGATCTACTGGATAAAGCAGAACGCTATGAATTGCTGGGAGAATTGTTTCGTTTGATAATTCCTATGTATGAGCGTCGTCAGAGTTACGAGATGTTGGCCCAGTGCTACCAGGCATTGGCTGCTGCTTGCACGAAAGTGGTGGATGTGACCAGATCAGGCAAGCGCCTTCTTGGCAGATACTACAGAGTGGCATTCTACGGACAGGTAGGCTATGTCAGCTTCATTCATTTTTGATTGGATTCATATTTTACTATGCATATTTTATTAGGCTTTATTCATAGCTTTAACATTTACTCTTTTGAATTTTGGATTGCATTTGTCTTCTTTAGAAGACAATTTAGAAAATTGGGTTTGAGGTATTTGCTTTTTACTGCATAAATAAAATTGTATGAATCTTTCTACCTAAAAGTTAGGGAGGTGATTTTATCCTACCAAACTTAATTGGCAGAGAGAAAGATATCCAACCTTTTATTTTAGGTACTACAAAATATGCCAGAATTATCTAAAAGAGAGGGGTATCTTTGGTGATACTGTGAAAGCATTTTTATTATATTAGTACTTGTGAAAGACATTGTTTCTGTACTTACATGCTTGCCACTTACTTTGTGCATGTGCATACATGCTTCACTGCAAAGTGAATTTTACACAAACCTGTTCATTGGTTCACTCAAGTAGATTCACTTAGTGGCAGTTGGTTCACTTAATGGCTGTGAGGGAAGATTCTTCCTTTTGAGAAGCTGCTGTGTATGAATAGGATACCAGATGACTTTCTAATGTCAAGCACAAACAAGATTGCTTCAGCATGCAATGCAATATCTAATCATTTCCATTTTCCTGTGATGCAGGCTTACTTTGAAGATGAGAGTGGAAGTGAGTACATCTACAAGGAACCGAAGGTCACTTCTCTGGCAGAGATCTCTGAAAGGCTGCTGCAGCTGTACAGTGATAAACTTGGGCAAGACTCTGTTAGGATCATAATGGATTCTGCTCCAGTAAGTAAAGAACTATTTTTATCATTGCAAGTGCAATTCTATTATTTCCTTAGCTATTAGAAGAAATTACTTCATGTGCAGAAAAGTCTTGTTGATCACTCCAAAGTCAATCACTGGCTTGATGTCACGTGAAAGCTCACATTTAATGAAAATTATAAACAGCGTGCAAAATAGATATACAAAGGGATCCTGTAATATCTTAGTTCTACTCTTTACCTACGAGTTTCAAATTTCTCATGAGTAAACAGTTTTGTTTCATTTTTCATCCATCAAATAAAAGCAATCCCTCTTCTGAAATGAAAGAATGTTGTGCTTGGTTAAAATTATTTTTTTTAATTATTTTTTTATTTTTTTAAATAATTTAATTTTTAATTTTAAGGGGTGTAATTAAAAGATACAATCATTATATTGTAGCACTTTAAAATTCTTTAAACATATATTAAATCTGAATTTATGCTGAATTGCTCATAAGAAGAACACGCAACCAAGCCTACGCAACCAAGAAGAGATTCTACCCATTAGCCATTTTAGAGTCTTCTTTCATTGCTATTTTCTTTTTCAGATCGATCCAAGTGAGCTGGACCCGAAGCTGGCCCACATTCAAGTCACTCATGTCACCCCCCACTTCGAGAAGACAGAGCTGGAGGACAGGCAAACGGAGTTTCAGCAGAGCCATGATATCAGCGTGTTTGCCTTTGAGACTCCCTTCACACGAGATGGAAAGGCAAGAGGAACTCCGGGAGCCCAATGGAAGCGGCGAACTATTCTCACAAGTGAGTAAATCATAATGAAAACACATCTCAGTAATTTTCAGTTAGTGGTGTAAATAAATAGCAAATGTTGCTGTTAGACATGATCCAATAGGTGTATAAGTATTTCCACATCCTTGATAGGGGATCCTTGGGGTCCTTGTACTGATATGCTAGGGGCTCAGCTACTCTCCCGATTAGCTTATTCATCTTAAGAGAAAAGTGTGCAACATTTATAATCTAAAGTATTTTTAGTGTACATTTTTTAAATTTTACAATATTAATATTTTATATTTAATTGCCACATTTGTTTACAGCCCAATACACTTTTCCTTATGTCAAGAAACGTATCCCTGTTATAAAACGTAGAGTGCAAGAACTAAGTCCCATAGAAGTGGCACTCGACGAAATGCAATTACGAGTTGCTGAATTGGAGGATGTTGTCTTTAGTCAGCCTACAGATGCCAAGAAATTGCAGTTACGGCTACAGGTACAGTCATCCTTATTTCTTGCTTTACACTTTGCTGAAGAATCATTTCCATTGCTTTTATATATTTGTCCATTTAGGATAAATAGTTGTTATCTAAAGATTTCCCAAAGTTTTAAATGATGTTTCAGAAAAAGTGAAAACTTATAATATTGCATATTAATGAAGTCTTTCTCAACAGGGAAGTGTATGTGTACAAGTGAATGCTGGTCCCCTTGCCTATGCTGCTGCCTTTTTGGATCCAGATCAGCAGGCACAGTTTGCTGAAGAAAAGGTGGAAGAACTGAAAGATGTGTTCAGGTAAATTATCTACTATTTTTCTCATGCTTTATCCAAGCTCTTTATTCTGATAAAGCATTTTAAAATACATGACCTTACATTTGATCTGCCGTTTTCAAAGTAATGGGAATTGTGTTGTGATGCCAATTTATTGTGAACAAAATGAAGATGTTTAAAATGTGGTTTTGCTGTTTCATGTTCAAAAGTAAATTATATTTTCAAAGAAATAATGGAGAACTGGTATCAAGTGGTATTTTTTTTTTTAAGTATAAAGAAATATTTTGTAGTAAAATTATAAAATCAGAATAACTAGTGCTCAAAGTATTGGTTTTTTGAAAGCTCATCCTTTCACAATATATTGGGAAATCCACAAGTGTATGAATTTTTTAATAATCATCCCTGTATGAAACATGTCACATGTACTTGTGGCATAATGAACAGTACCGTTATCTTTGTCCATTTTTAAAAGTCTTAAGAAAAGAAACAATAAATCCCCTGAGTAATTCCAACTAAACATGTAAAAGAATAAGGTGAAGGGTTGGTAAACCCCTGAATGGGAGGATGGATGTGTTGAATATTCAACAATTTGTATTACATGAAAAAGTCCGATTTACTTTTTACTTTAAAGTCCTTTTTTATATTAATTTATTCTACATTTTTTAAATTGAATTTTTAACATTTTATTATGTGTATAATTCTTTTACAAGTTTGATGACTTATTATTTTTGACTCTTAATATTAAGAGTCAAAAATAATAAGTCATCAAACTTCTAATCAAACTTTTTCTCTGTCACTGAATTTCTCTTTTGTATTGGGCATGCAAAAATTGTGACATTTTACAACAAAATTATGACACAAAATATTTGCCCATTTGATACATCATTGAGTATAAAAGCATAATATGCAATTCAGTGTATATGAGCTAAGAATTAATCTTTTCCAGGGAATTTGTGAAGATTTGCTACATGGCTTTGCAAATTAATGCAAAGTTAATCTCTTCTGATCAGTTGGAGTACCAACAGTTGTTACGGAACAACTTTCAGAAACTCTGTCATGACCTGTCTGCCCTTTTTGGAGAAGCACTTTGGCCAAATGATGAAGTGGGCTGCTTCAAACGCAACAGCCAGGCCCTTTTCAGTGCCATCAGTGGAGCCCCTGGCAACTCCAGCACTGCGTAGCACCTTCAACTGCTACAGAGGGTTTGTGTTTCTGTTGTTTCTTATGTACCTTGGACTATATTTAAGTCCTACAGATGATATCTCCATTTACACTACAAAAGGAGGCACATGGACCTCCCTTGAACCATCAGGAAGATATTTGGCATTTACATGTGAGTAGAGTTGTTGTATTGCTTATCATTTTTGCAGTCAAAGAACTTTGTTAAACCAGCAAGATTTTATAATGATTCTCTAAAATCGCACACCTCCAGTTATCAGTTGTATGAAGTGTGATACAGAATCCTTTTCGTTGGGGAAACTATGCCACTGGTTTCATTTGGGAATGAAAGGATGAAATATGTCATTAAAGTGACAGTTTTCAAAATGTTAACTAACTATAATCTAATTAATTGCACTTTCAATGACATCTTTTCCCCCTACTAAATTTCATTTAGTAAGGGGAAAATATGAGTGAAGGTATCATTCTTTATGTAACGTACTGTGAATTTTTTAATAGGCGTATTAAAATATTAAGAATAGATTTTGGAGTGATTGTAGTCTCAGCACAAAAGTTTACAGTGCCAATTTCATGATATATAAATCATGATCTGAACAACATTTGTTAGTACATTTAGACTTTTTGGATACAAGGACATTAAAAGAGATACTGCAGATGAATTCTATTGAGAAAACATTAACTTCTCCGAAGTCAGCAATAACAATTTGTGACAGTGTTGCATGTAAATGAGCAGGAGGGATATGCGACAGTAAGTTTTTAGATGAACTCTGAATCCTATGCCATGCACGTGGATCCTAGTCATGTAAAGGTCCTGATTGTGCTGCATGTTACTCTTTGCTAGAACAAACTTGTGTGAGCTCTGATATTTAAAGCTACTATATGTTCAGCACAGTTGTTAACATACAATAAATACATTAATTTCTTTAATTTTTATTTATGTTTTGTTTGATTTATGGAATTTTTATTTAGAATAAATAAATGTAAGGTTATTTGAAACTTCCTCTAAAAACTAACTTCCAGTCATAAGTTGTGCAATGAAGTGCCAAAAATCAGTCTTCTGAAGTGTTGTTTTTAAAAAGAAAATTAAAAGCAATTAAACATTTTATATTTATAGAGGGAAATGTATTTAAAACTTGATGGTTTTCTAATTAGAACAAACCAAAAGGAGATGACAAGGAATACTTGAAATGAAGTCAATGTCTTCCAAAAGCAACGGAACCATCTTAAGCCTCCTGGGAAATAGGATTTTGCTTTTTGACAATTATGTAATATAGTTATTTTATAATATTTTTGTCTGTTGTTTTTTGTAAATCTTATTAATATATTTTAAAATATAAGCAAATAATAATGAAACAAATATTTGAGTGACATTAGTTATTTGTGGATCTAATTGAACATTGTGAATAAAAAACTAAAACTTTACAAATAATAATGTTGATACAAAACTGTTTAAAGTAAATAATGCGACACTTGTATTTGAATGTATACAAACTTCCAATTCGTTTTTCTATTATGAAAAATAAATTTAGAAAATCGAATGAGAATATTTCTCAAACTTTTGTGGGTGGTCCAAGTTGATTAGGCTTAATGATGAGGATGGAATGTATTTAAGAAATAGATACAACACAGTATTGGTACCATTCTTATATTTGATTACAAATTTTAAGTTATTTGCAAAGAAATTGCCATGTTTACCTGTTTGAAGGGTTGCATTTTTATTTGTATGTGTGTACAAATAAAAATGCAACCCTTCAAACAGGTAAACATAGCAATAGAAACAATATAATACAAGAACTTTATTGAAATATTTATTGTATGTTATTTATGTTCATCCAAGTAATGACTCATTAAGCACAGAACTTAAATTGCAGCTTGCGAATTTGAGTTTTTGAATCTTGTTTAAGTATTTTCAATGGTGAATGAGCAACTCCAATTGGTTTCTTGGTGTGAAGCAGTTTTTATGTATAAATTTTGACTTCTGCAAAATTTTCTAAACCTAGATGGTAATATTGATAATATTATCTGTCTTTAATTCTGCTAGTTTGCTTATTAAATCATTTAAATAGTGATATTGGTAAATACAGAATTGTTTTCACTGTTTTATGTGTGTAATGTAGATAAGTTTTGTGGGGATGAATCAAATTTTCATTTTTAGTGCCAAGGGTATTTTGGTTTTCTAGTGAATTGGTTGGAAAGTTATTTTTTTCACATGAACTTCAAAAGTTGCTTGTTTAATTGTTGTTTTAATTGAACGTTAGCACTCCTGAACAAAGGCATAGGAAATGTAGATAAGAATGTAAACACCTTAATGTGAAGAGGCAAGATAATTGTAATGTAGTTTAACCTATTCACAAGTTTCTAGATGCAGATATTCAAACTCATTTGCTCTCTTCAGAATCCGTTCTCTCTTATACTTTTAAACACAATCCATTCATAGCCCTATTATGTACACATTATAGAAGGTTTTCTTAAATTACAAATATGTAACATAAATACCAAAGCATATAGACTCTTTTGTACACTGTAATAATATTGTGGTGGCCCAGGATACTATAAAACTTGATAAGTTTTTCAGGGGACTGAATGAAACAATGTGTGAGAAAAATACATCACTGAATATGAGGCCTATGTGGGCCTGTGTTTCCATCAGGCTTGCAGGACACAAGTAGGCACGCCCGATGGAAAAGACCACTCCAGTGTTCATGCTTTGTATAAACACAGTTCTTATTTCCTTCATGATTCGTCTTTCTTACAAATGCCTGCAATTTTTATTGTGCAAAAGAGGGTAACATAATACAAAGACTCACCAGACAATGCTTGCCCCCCCCCATATCCTTGCATCCTGTAGTTTTGTCCATATTACTAAATTTGACTTGATAGCCCATGTAAGAACCTTCATTCCTTGGGTCCTGCAAATCCACAAAACTAAACCCTGAACCCAAAACATATTCCTTGTGCTCCTCAAGGATAATGCAATTATTTTCTCTTAATGGTCATTTATGGCATTATTATTAGAATGTTATACAGGCTTAAAAAGACTTGTTACTGATGTATAAGCATGTGTGAAATTATTTGACACGGGAATTATAGAAATTTAGCTGAAAAAATTAAAATAATGAGCAACAAAAATTTAAACTTCATTTATTCATTTTGTGCTCATGAAAAACATGAGTGTAAAATGGATAAATGAAGTTTCACTGGTGTGTGGGAGTTTGTGTGTGTATGGGTTTTTTAATTTTTTTTTTTCCCTCTCTCTCCTTTTTTCCTTTAATGCACCAGGTATACTCGTTACATGCATTTAGAAATCAAGTAACTGATCTTTCTCTTCACATACAATAACTTTAAAATCTCATTTCATTAAGACAGATTTTGAGGCATAAGAAAATCTCCCACACTCTCTTCTGACAGATGACAGAGTGATATTGATTCCAAAGAGCAGCTATAGGTTATTTCCTTCATATTTGTGAATGTCCTGGCAGTCAAAAGGATTGCTGCACCCAACTTCTACTTCGAAATCTCTTCATTTGTAAGCAAACTTGCAATGAATTGTGGGCATTTTGATGTGACCTGTGGTTAAAAATAACTATTAAGAATGTGAAAAATATTGTTAGGCCACAGACATTAAATTTTGTTATTTTTTTTATAAATATATATTTTCTTATTTTTTATTCATTGTCATTGATACAATGCATCTCTTAAACTCTTGTTGGGCATTTAGCGCTTGCATGGAGTAATCCTCCTTTACTTTCTTTGTCAAGCCGTCTCACATCGCAGTCAGTTAGTGCCTTTTATCTCTTTGGCCAGGGATATGACGCCATTAGATGCTGGGGTTCATAGCCGGTTACCCAACACAGAACCCATGAGTCTTGGATTTGCTTAACCTCCGTGACTTCATGGAGCGTAGTAAAAGAATTCAGCTGACGACGTCAACTGTTATTAATCATTTATACGGAATCTTATTCAAACGCACTTTTGAAAATATTCCTTTTACTTAAATTATTGATTGCAGATTTTATTCATAATACAAATAGGGTGTATACACTATTCAAGGAAACTGGAAATGTGTTCATATTGTTATAAACACTGCTTTTTATATTTATTGCATTTATTGCCATAAAATGGATTATTTACTTAAAAGTAAACGCACCTTTAAAAAACTGTCTGTGTCATTGGAAGAAAAGAAGTCCAAGTGTATAATTTAATTCATTCAGATATTGACCCTTGAAATACTTAGTAAATATATATATATTTCATTGACCATTATGTGAGACACACATTTTTCCATAAATGGAGTGTCATGGACTACCCCTGGCATGCTTGCGTTTCTTTCATTTTGCCGTTTACTCTGTTTTGTGCTCATTGCTCACCACCCCAATTGCTGTTCTTTATATTCATTATTATTATTACTATTATTATTCATTATTATTTCAAACGTTTTTAATCTAATTTCAATAATTCCATTACCTTTCTTAATTAAATTAAAATTCTCAATTTACTTTTCCTTTCTTTTAATTTAAGTAATGTAATTTAGTCATTAGTCTTATGAAAGAATATTACTCAAATAATTCCTTACTATTGCTAAATATTAATAAACAAACCGAGTGTCATTTTAATATCCAAATATTCCGTTTTCATCTCAGAGCTAGTACAAATTTGGATTAGAAAAATAATATTATCCATGGACTGACCCCACCCCTGAAAATCATAATAATTGACTTTCTGAAATTAAATTAGATTTTAATTAAATAATTAATTAATGCAGAAGGAATGGGAATTATGGCAACTTTGATTCTTATGGCCTTTCAATAAAATCAAAAAAAAAAAATCTTTTCTCTGTTAAAATATGACATTGTATTATTTTATTTCATTATTAAAAAAATAAACTTCATTGAAATTCATTTCACTTTTACACATTAAGACCCCATTTCACATGACAAAAAACAAGTACAAAACAAATAATAAGCTAAATTCATTGACACTCACAAACACATCAACTGATCATTATTATTGGTTTTAATAACTCTTAGAAAGTACTAATTCTCACCATGTCATTGTACTGACAAAGATATTACTTCATTTTCTCAATATATTTTACTTCCCTTTTATAGTATTATATTCTCTACTTACTCTCTTCAATTCTACTTCATTGCAAACATTCCATATTGGCTACAGATTGTTTCACTGAATTCTCTTATCAGTTCATTATTACTATTGTTATTCATTTATCTTCATATATGTAAAATGGTAGTAGGAAAGCTGATAATATGTATATCTCTTTTATATGTAATATAGTTTATTGCATACTATTATATTAATATAGTTATGTGCACACTCAGTTGATGTCTTCTAGCGTGATTAACCATTCTAAGCTGATTTGCTCTCAGTGTGACATTTAGAACAAAAATATTTTGCAAAATTTTGAATTTTTGAAATTTCTTAAATATTCTGTACTTACAATCAGTATCACCTTTCTTTACATACCCACTTGAATTATCAATAAAATCTCATTGTTTTGTTGAAACCAAATCAAACAAAATTAAATACATTAGAATTACAACCTCAAAATTTTATGTGCACCTCTTCAAATAAAAGCTCATACAAGCCATAAATGAATCATGCTTACAACATTATGGACTCCAAATCAGATAATTAAATGAGAAAGAATATAACCCAGTGTAGTAGAACAAACCTCAACTCCTTCAATATGCTAGCAATTCACGTTAAAAAACTATGAACATGATTTGTCCTCACACATGCTGAGAAGTTTTATTCAGGACAAGATATGTCATCACCCTTGCCTGAAGGGATAAAGAGGTCTCAGAATGTTTCTATATTGTATATCCACCATTGTGTATCTTGAAGATTTCAACAAAATCACCACTTTCTGTCCTCTCCTCCAGGCTCAATAGTTTCAAGTTTTGCTTTTTTCTCGATACTTGTGACATAGCACTCTTGGGATTTTTGACAGTAACCTCTGAAGTTTTTCTGTCAATTCTGTTTCTTTTTTATAATACAGACACTAAAAAGAATTGATGTA